ACTATACTATACTATACTTACTATACTATACTATACTATACTTACTATACTATACTATACTATACTTACTATACTATACTATACTTACTATACTATACTATACTTACTATAGTGAGTGTATGTATATGTGTATTTGTGTTTACACACACACACACACACACACACACACACACACACACACACACACACGGTATACTCCATACTTACTAAACAGCTCAGCCTAGTGGCCTAGTGCTTGGATTACAGGTGTGGCCATTACACTTGGCTCTTGGCTTTGGAAAGGCGATACCGATACATGTCTGTTCTATCTCTGGGGACATCCCAGCAAGAAAAGGATGTGATAATAGGTCCCCTTGAGAGGCCAAGCAGTCCTAAATACTTCTCAGATTTCTACATGAAGCCTTGAGGAGGCAGTTATGGCTCAGGGCTTGAAGCAAGCCAACAGGCCCCACAGCCTAGTCCTGTCCTACTGTGCTCCAGTATCTGCCTTAAGTAGCAGTAAGGGAGGGAGTTTTAGGCACAGACGTAGGATGCTGTAGGGCAAATCATAGAGGGAACCCCCAACCTTAAGAACAGCTCAAAATATCTGCCAGGGAGGTGAGGTGGGCAGGACCTCAGGGGCAGAGGGGCAGCAGGAGAGAGGAGCCCAGCAGGGGTTGTTCTGTACCCTGAATCTCCTGGTGGCTTTCACAGCAATGCCTGTCCTGCCCTTCTGAGAGCAGGCCCAGGAGGTGAGGTGAGCTTGGGCTATGACCTGCTGGAGTCCCCGCGTCCTCCAAGTCTCACCTTGCTTGAGCACAGGTAACAGAACCTGAGACCCAAGGGAACCTCTGACCAGCCGGGTGCACACCCTTTACCTCTTCACTCCTCTCCTGAACTCAAACAGCTTCTGTCCCTCTGGAATGGAAAACACCCGAATCACAGTCCCCTAGTCAGAGAGAGGACAAAGGGGAAGAGAACAGTTTTAGCTGAGCAAAGCATCGACTTTTCCTTTCTCACATCATTCTACATAGGAATAAGCCAGGCCTCTGTTTCCAGGGGCAACCTGGCTTCCTTTTGAGCTCCAGTTCTGGACTAGCACACACCCCTGCTGCCACAGACCACAGTGTTCTATCCTATTCTTGCTACCACCATAGCATTGCTTAAAATCAGCCTACTGATCTAGAAACAACCAGCCTTGAAGGCAAATGTAGAGAACACCAAAGCACCATTCCCTTAGCCCGCAGATCTTCTTACTGGAATCTCTTACGTTAATAATTAGACACATGTACTTGGGATTTACACATGACTTAAACACATCATTACCTGCAGTAACAGTATGTAAGAGACAACATCAATGTCTCAAAATAGTGATGTTTGAAAATACTACAGCTAGGAGGCAGAGGTAGTGGATCTCTGAGTTTGAGGCCAGCTTGGTATTCAAAGTGAGTTCCAGGATAGCCAGGGCTATACTGAGAAACCCTGTCTCAAAAAAACAAATGAAACAAAACAAAGAAAAATTACAGCCATTTTTGTTGTTGTTGATTTTTATTGTTGTTGTTTTTGAGACTGAGACAAGGTCGCACTATGTCCCTGGCTGGTCTGGAACTCACTGTGTAGACCAGACTGGCTCTGAATTCAGAGAGCTACCTGCTTCTTGCATCATTGCTATGCCTGATGTTTTCCTATTTTATGCCACAAACAAGCATTTGTGTTTTTTAAATTTTATGTGTGTATATGTGGGTGTTTGTGGGTATATGTGCCACAGTGCACACATGGGGACCAGAGGACAGCCTAAGGAGTCTGTTTTTTCCTACTGTAGCCTTTCCCTTCCTTACATATGTACACACATACTTGCATATACATGCACAGCACACTTGCTGAACTGTCTTGGTGCTCCCTGCCATGTGTCAAACAACCCCAGCCTGTGGCTCTAATAGAAGATGGCAGAACCTACTAGAGGCCTAGAGTTAGTCAGTCCCAGTCTCTGAAAGTGTGTCCTTAAAGGGAATATGGGGACCTCAGCCCCACCCCCACCCCCTTTCCTCCTGGCTACCATATGACCAGTTTTTCTCAGCCATGGGAGATGCTTGAAGACATGAGCCAGCTAACTGTTAGTAACTAACCCATTTGTTCTCTACACAGGTTGTCTCCCTCAGGCATTCTCAAAGAGGGAAGCCAGCACTGGCAGCCCCTTATAGTGGAATAGAAAACCTGTTGGTAACTTGGACTGTGTGAACAGAACGAGCAGGGTTCACGGAAACCATTGAACCAGGTTTCCCCCAGCCACAGCAGACATACCTTCTCAGAAGCAGTGGCAAGCTTGGTCCCACTTGCATCAAAAGCCAGGGCTGCTAAGGGACTGTCATGAGCTGGGATCATGTTCGCAGCTCTCTGAAAAGGGGAAATAAAGAAAACATGACTATCACACAAGAGCCCTGTACCCACAGGGCCATCAGGTAGAAACGGCTGCTAGAACGTCATTACGAAGGTCAGCATGAGCAGTGGAGCCCCGTGGCTGGCAGGCTGTGGAAACACCGCTCAGAGTATAGCATGCAAAGCAGCTGACCCTGTGTGCTGGGTTCTGCCAGCAAGCACAGCTCACTGTGAGCACTGGTAAGACACAGGTAGCCCAGGCAGACCTGCTCTGCCACCTCCAGAGAGCACCACAGGAAGCCATGCTGCTGAGCCAAGGATGCCACTGCATGCCTTCCCAGCAAACACATCCTCCAGAGCCACTCAAGGACCTCACCAAGTTAATGGTGTCGAAGACCTGCACCTCTCCAATGGTCGCACTTCCTGGATACGCCAAGTAGCAGTTGTCGTTGTTTATTGACAGTGCACACAAGCCTGTGGAGACACATGATGACTGAACGCACATGGAGTCTAGAAGGGTACCTTTTTTTTTTTTTTTGGTTTTTTCGAGACAGGGTTTCTCTGTATAGCCCTGGCTGTCCTGGAACTCACTCTGTAGACCAGGCTGGCCTTGAACTCAGAAATCCGCCTGCCTCTGCCTCCCAAGTGCTGGGATTAAAGGCGTGCGCCACCATCGCCCGGCTAGAAGGGTACCTTTTAGTGTTAGAGTAGAGTTAACATTTCTACAACAAAAACAATAGAAAGTAGCAGATAGCTTTCTCCTCCTCATCCTCCCTCAAGTTGTCCACCCTAGGCCACCCTGGGGAATGCTGGTATCACAGAGATGAGACACCTTTGGTTAGGAGTGACCAGCAGGTTGGGGTAACCTATAAACTTACGTCTTCCAACCAATAAGCTTCCATGCTCACAAGGCAGCAGCACAGGGAAGGGGGATCGGGCGGTTTCCACCTTCTGAATTTTATACCTGACTGTAGAGACCGGGAGAGGAAACTCCCACCCTCCGCTATCATTCTACATCTGTCTATTTAGTGTGTGTGCACCGAGGTGTGTGTCAGGCAGAGCACAACTGGAAGGATCTGACTCTCCCCTCCAGCATGTGAGTTCTGGGAGCGGCACTCAGCTTGTCAGGCTCAGTGCCGTTTACTTGCTGAGCCACCACACAGCCCACAGTAGTTATCCTTACCCTTTAAAGCCTCCCCTACCTCCACTAGGATCTTCCTTTAAGTGTTTTCTCCCTATGTATTTCTTTTTGGTGCGGGTGTGCTCACATGGCACCGTGTACAGGTGGGAAGGTCAGAGGACGAGCTGCAGTAAGTGCTCTTCCACAATGTGGATTGCTGGAATCATACCGAGGTAGCTGGGCTTGGTGGTAAGTGCCTCAACAGGTCCAGACTCTTCTTAGCAATGGCTTACCTGCAGGGTTTGGGGGTGTCTCTCGAATGGTATGAAGTACCTTCATGTCTCGGATGTTGTGTATATAGAGCGACTCTTCCAGACACACAATGAGCCTCTAGAAACAGTAACAACCAAGCATGAAGAAGCATCTGGGCCAGCATGTGCCATGTTCCGCCTGAGCTGACTCCTGGACTAAGTCAGTCTCCAGCCCAGGACACCATGCAGGCTGCTGTACAGAGTGCAAGTGTGTGCACTGCCCACCAGGCTCCACAGCCATCTGCACAACTCCATAACTATAGATGCCTAGTGCACTATGAATCTCACAGGGCAAGATTGGTTAACTCAGTACCAAGTGTTTGACAGACTGGGGAGAGACTGACAAAGGCAAACTGCTTTAGAAAACTATAGTGAGGGCCAGGGAGATGGCTCAGTGGATAACAGCACCTACTGTGTGAGCCCAACCAGGTGGTACAGGCCCATCCTCCATCTACTAGAGACTGAGGCAGGAAGATGGCATGTTTGAGGCCCCATCACAAAATAAAAAGTAAAAATGGGCTTAGCAGTAAAGGCTCATGCTTTGCATATGTGAGGTCTACCCTGAGAACCACAAAAAAACCACAAACCCCCAAAACCCATGGTGACTGAGATACTGGTAAAACACAAGTGAAAGCACACGGGTCATGTCACTGTGGACACAAGTTACTTTGCTGTAAGGTTCTATTCACTGTGTTCTAAATGTGTGAGTGTTCGCTTGCATGCATGCACACTGTGTGCCTAGTTCCTGAGGAGGTCAGAGAAGGCACTGGATGCCCCGGAGCTAGAGTTACAGGTGGCTGTGAGCCACCTGATGTGGGCGCTGGGCAAGAGCAACAAGAGCTCTTATCTTTAAGCCATCTTTCCAGGTCCCTATCCTGTTCATATTCATTTTAAACACAGGACACCGGGGCTCCCAGATGATGAGTAGGTTTGATATCGTGAGGGGCTGGCACACACACTTCATGGCAGCATGTACAGGAACAGGAATCTCTTATGTCTTCACCTTGACAAACGCTCAAGCTATTATGTTCCACAACTTCCCAGCTGAACTGGACAACTGGGCCAATCCCAGTTTAATCAGGCAACCAGGAAACACAAGTCTGGCTAACTGCTTTAAACAGTAGAAGCTGCCCCTTGGAGTCCAGCTCTCACAGTAAGGAAAGCTGTATGCCTGCTGCTGAGGCGCCTATCCCTGCAGAATGTGTGTGCTGCACACAGAGAAAATGCTAGTGGCTCTTCTGCAGTGGCTACCTGTGTGCATACTGAGACCAGGACTGTCAGGAAATATTCTCAGAGGCTCCATACAAAGTTATGCCATGTGGGTTTGTCTTGTTGGTTTGGGAGAAAATATACTTCACAGTAACGATTCAAAGAAGGAAAAGAGTGAAGAGACTTTCAGACAGCAACCTGAGAGTAAGAGTCCTGCCCTGAGGACAAATGGAGCATGCTGGCAGGGACAAGCCAGTGTCAAGTGTGGGACTGCTTAAGCAGAGCTGCTGAGAGTGGAACGGAGGGTCTGGCTGAGCAAGTGTGTAAGAGTCAAGCCGTGGCCCTCCACAACTTAACCCCAGCGCTGCAGAGGCAGAGCCAGACGGGTCACCACGACTTAAAGGCCAGCCTTTTCTACATAGCAAACTCCAACACAGCCAGGGCTACACAAAGACCCTGTCTTAAGCATCCGAAAAGGACAGGCCCAGTGGAGTAGAGAAGATGGTTCAGGGCCGGGGAGGTAATGAATGGTTCCGAGCTCAAAGCCCCAGTGTGAGACATGGGAGGAACACCAGACAACAGACAGCACACACTTGGTTTCCTTGCTTGATTTCACTTATGTGTGTGCACCTATATGTCTGTAAAATGGTGGTTAAAGCCAGAGATGTCACCTGTACTTCTCAGTTATCCTCTGCCTTATTCCCTTGAGACAGGGTCTCTTACTGAACCGGAAGCTAAGGCAGGTCAGTAAACACAACAGCCCACTGCAATGCTAGGGTTAGACACACATGACTTTGTATGCAGCTGCTGGGGATTCAGACTCAAGTCCTTACATTTATACAGCAAGAGCTCTTAGCACTGAGACACCTCCTCAGCCACTCCTCTTATTTGGAGACAGGCTCCCATCCTTCTGATCTGCCTATACCTCTCACTGTGCTTGAGATGGCACCCAAGGCTTAAGGGCACGGTAGGCAAGGCAAGTGCTGTCCCATCTGAGCTGCTTGCAACGCAGGGTGTTCCTCACCTGTCTGTTCAGCTTCACAGCCAGTATTGTGTTGGAGTAGCTGTAGTTGCATATCTCGGTTCCCTTCTTAAAGTGGCAAACCTTCAGCTTCCTGGGAGCTTTGAGGCTGACAATGGCCACCAAGCTGCTTGAGAACAATCTCTCCACAATGCAGACATCTTCAGTGTCAGCTGGAACCACAGAAGAACAACACATGTGTGGATGCATACACTTACAGGTTAAAGTGTGCAGTCTGCCCACAGACACCAGTGCATGCACTTTCACAGGCACATGGTACTGTAATGGACACACAGGCTGACTATCTCTGGAGTCAGAGGTCAGCAAAGGGGATGGAAAGTCTCCTATCTGGAGTCCTGGCTGCTGTCAGTATAAATACAGATCACACCCTACGTGCAAACTCTGATGCCAAAGCACAGAATCATGAACTTTATGCCGGCAGGACTTCAAAGCACACTCACTACATTTACTTACTGTTGTTGTTCTTTAATATATATTGTGGGGGTGTGTGTGTGCCGTGGTAAGACTGGAGGTCAGAGGAAACTCGTGGAAGTCTGTTCTTTCCTCCTACCGTGGGGTCCTGAGGTTCCCACTCAGGTTGTCATGCTTGGCAGCAAGTACCTTTACCCACTGAGCCATCTCGTGGGCCCACACTTAGTCAGGTCAGGTCACAGAGTGGGACGCTGCAAGGGATGCACACTAAGGCCCAATCCGTAACTGCTGTGGCACTGGGCAAGGAGCCTGAGCCGGTGCCAGCCTGAGCCGGTGCCAGCCTGAGCCGGTGCCAGCCCCATGCTGCTGAAGCATTCACCAGGCCGGCTTGACAGCCACAGCTCCGACTCTCTGTAGCTGAAGATGGGTGCATCAGGAGACAAGGCTGTGTAACTCAAAGAGCATCTGCGCTTTTAGGCAAGCACAGAGTTTCATCAGGTCTGCCTGACCTGAAACGCAAATGTACATTAACACACTAGACACAAATGTATACTGACATACTGGACAGAAGCTAAAAGCAGACACACCCATTTTTGTTCAAGCATGGGAATGTGCCGCTACTCACAATGGGACAGGCAGTAAATCAAGGCCTGACCCTAAGCTCGTTATAGCTTACTCGTGGGCACTTTTAGCCAGGTGACACAATCACATTTGCGTCCCTTCTAGAGCAGCAAGCAAGCTGTCATGTCAAGAGTCACAACACAAGTGGCTGCCACCACTGAGGAACAGGCCAGAGGAGTGGGAGCCAGGAGATGGGTCCCAGGCTGCAGAAGCTTTGCCCATGAGCATCCTGACTTAGGTGCCAACCCGTGCCCAGAGTGCCTTGCAACAAAAGCACAGCTAACACTGCTAGCACTTGGAGAAGTCAGAGACTTTGTACATGACAAGCACCTGAGACACAGCCAACCAGGTGGACAGACTAGAGCCTCAGAATGTCAACTAGCTGCAGCACAAAGAACTTCCCTCAAGAAGTCACAAGGACATCTGTCATGATTAGAAACCATGATGAGAAATTCCAGGCAGAAGGAGTATCGGCAGAGTTGCTGATATAGAAAGAGGGTTAGTTTACAGTCGCCAGGTATGGTGACAATATGTCTTTAATCCTAACATTCAGGAGACAGTGACAGGTGGATCTCTTATGACTTTGAGGCTAGCCTGGTTTACACAGAGTTAGGTTAGCAAAGGCCACTGAGACTGTTTTTAAAAGGGGGAGGGGCAGAAGAGGTAGCACCCCATGTAGAAAGCAGGGCAGGGTGATGCGCCTGGAAGTAGAGACATTAGGACTCATGTAGCTCACTGGCTAGCTAGTCTGGAGGACTGTTTAGACACCAGATTGTCAAGCTGGTCTGTATATGACACACACACAGATACATACACACACACACACACACACACACACAATTAAGTCAGCCAGGACTAGCTGCCATGCAGAACCTGTGTCTAATATCCTCAAATAAACAAGACTGGATTACAGCTTTAGTGACGCTAAAGATGCGGCACACTATAGGAAAGCACAGTCTATATAAAACTGTGTGTGTACACATGTATGTATATGCAGGGACAGGTTCATGGCACACATGGGGAGGTCAGAGGAGACTTCAAGTTCTGATCATCCCAAATCTTTTCTGTTTGAGTTTCCAACTCCCCAGCTTGGGGATTACAAGTACTTTTTTACCTTTGTCCTGGGGATCAGAACTCAGGTCCTCAGACTTGGAAAACAAATACTTTATCAGTGACTTAATCATTTCCATAAAGTAAAACTGATGGTAAGAAATCTTTATATAAATCCACTGGCCCTGTAATTTAAACCATGGGCGAGACAGTCTTTTTTTTTTTTTTTTTTCGAGACAGGGTTTCTCTGTGTAGCCCTGGCTGTCCTGGAACTCACTCTGTAGACCAGGCTGGCCTTGAACTCAGAAACCTGCCTGCCTCTGCCTCCCAAGTGCTGGGATTAAAGGCGTGCACCACCACTGCCCGGCTATCTTTTTTTTTTTTTTTAATTTATTTTTTTGAGACAGTCTTAAGACCTTCCCATATGCAGCTGTGTGTCACCCTTCATAGATTCTGAATTTGAGGCATGCCGCCCCCATGCTAATGTTTAACTCCAGCCCCTGGGGGTTTTACAACCATTGGGCATAAGTCCTTGTCTTCTGCACACATTCCTGTGAGGGGAGGGCTGCAGTGTGAAAGGGAGGTGAGGGAGTGGCAGCGGAGCTTGCTGGATGCTCCTTGTGGTGAAGCAGACTGTGGAAGCTAGTGGGGGTAGGGGGAGTGACTGCTTCCAAGAACATCTTGTCTCAGTCACAGGAGCACCTATACGCTCACCCAACTGCACTTCAGGGGACACAGGGACACCGAAGGACCAGGACCACTTAATAATGTCAGGAGCAAAATCTAGCAAGACTAAGTTTAAACTGTGGGAAACCCCGCCCTTCTTACTGACCAGGAAGGAGGAGGATCCCAGCCAGGCCCAGAGGCCAGCAGGTAGGCCAGGGGAGGGGCGGTGGGCTCCTGCAGTGAGCATGGGTCATTGCAGGGCAGGGGTGGGAGAGTTCCTAAGTGCAACATGGTTAAACAGAGCCAGCAGCAGGCACCGGGAGGCCTGGGACTTCATGGCCAGGCGTTCAGAACCAGTTAACCGTAGTAAAATGACATCAATACTACAGAGGTCAAAAAACAAAGCAAAACAACCAGGACTCAGGCTGGGTGTGGCGGCTCACAACTACAGTCGGTACTTTGGAGGTGGAGGCAGGAGGACTACCACAAGTTTGAAGCCAGTCAATTACACAGTGAAAGTGTGTTTAAAAAAACAAAAGCAACCAAGCATCTCCCCAACCCCAAATCAGAAACCTAGGGACAGGCAGTGGGGAGGGTGGGGCGTGGAGGGTTGATGTCTGCCCTTATCCTAGTATAGGCAGAAGCAGGTCAGCCAAGGTGGGAGGGGAAAAAAGTATTTAGTAATAGGAGAAAAAAAAATCCTTGTTGAAAATTTCTCTTGGCCAGGCATGGCGGTACACATCTTTAATTCCAGTACTTGGTAGGCAGAGGCTGGCAGACTTCTGTGAGTTCTAGGCTAGCCTGGTCTACATAGTGAGCTCCAGAACAGCCAGGGCTACGTAGAGGTCCTGTCTCAAACAACTGAGAAAGAAAAAATCTTTAATTAACACTGCCTTTAATGATGGAAACCATAATATGCCCTTGGAGACTGCACAGAGCAACAATGTCCCTGCCTCACTGCACATTCCTGCAACAGATCCAGGGTAGGGAGTGGGGGTGGGGTGGGGGAAGCACCTGGACCCAAGTTGTTACATCTTGGCTGCTTTCCCTGAAGAGGGATTAGCTAGACTTCATATTCCATCCAATACCTTCCCTGAGAAGCTAAACTTCTTGCATTTATAGCCCCACAGTGGGCTGGGCCATAGGAATCACTCCCCAAATTGCCCTACCCACTACTTTCATTAATCTACTAAACAAAACAAAACAACAAACCAGAAACATTCCATGCTGAGCCCAGTACTGGGTGTGAAGATGCTCACTCCCTCTAGTCACCACACTCCACAGCACAGTGGTTAGTGCTTATCTGTGTGGTTATCTGTTGACCCCACCTTTCCAACTCCAGGAAATTACCTGACAGCTTTATTCACCAGTAGCTACGGCAAAGTTCCTCAGGCAGCTAGCCACTTCTAAGTCTACTCTTTGAACGGGAACAGGCACCCATACTGCTGCCTGCACACCAATGTGCAGAACAGCCCATGAGTGCATGAATCAGTGGATGAACCAAACAGGACAGCTAGACAGTACAGCAACACTCAGCAATAATACGAAGGCAGGTCTGGTACACGGGAGTGCAGGGAGAAGCTGTAAAAACATTCCACATGGACAAAGCCAGCCGCAGCTGCATTATCTGCAATGCCCAGACAGCAAATCTATAGATGCAGAAAGAAGAGGAGCGGCTGAGCTGGGCTGGGTGGGGGAGGAAATAGGGAGTGACTGCTAATGGACTCCGGCTTTAAGAGAAGATAAAACATTTGTCAATTCCATGATGGTAGGCTGCTCAACTCAGCAAATGCACCACACTGGATAATTTAAGGGGATTTATAGGCCATAAAGGTATACAAACTATACCCCAAAGAGGTTGGCTTTTATTTTTGTAAATCACACTAAAGCCCATCTCAGGTAGCCTAACGCAGACATATGAACTTTGGCTGATATATTACGACCTGATGCAAGAAGTTACTGATGCAAGTGGTAGGGGACTCTTAGTACAAGTCATGTCACCAGGGAAAAATGGGCCACTGGGACGAGGTAGAAGCTAAGTATATGCAGACCCTTTGGGAACTCTAGTCCTTCAACCCCAGGTAATGGGCATCAGGGGGTAAAGGGGTGTTTCTTAAGCCACTAAAGAGATCTGACAGCTATTGAGTTTTCTGGGGCAATTTTTAATCTGTAACCTTTATCTGATTTCCATAGTAGCTAAGAAAAGGATTAAGCCCTCTGCAAATGGCAGGGGAACTTACTTCCCTGGTCTGACCAGGAAGAGTTGACTTTGTGTGACTGCATGTGAGCTAGGCAGTCCAAACAAAAGGTTATTGATAGGTGCCTTTCTCTGTTGATCTTCTACTGAACCTGGTGCTTACACAGTGGCAAACTGGCTGGCCACATCATTCTTAGGATCTACCTG